CAATGGGCCATGTATCCTTGAGGGCATCAGTATAAGAACTTTTGGAACTTATAAACTTAATGTCAAAGTAACCTTTTTTGCCATAGCTCATATTGCAATTTTGTTGTTATTATTGCTTTTCTGTAGCACTCCGTATTACTGATTCCCACATTGTATTCATTTCTATGCTTAGGGTGGCTCAGGAGATTTTTGTGGCTTAGCATATGTGCTGATTCCTTCAGTTTACGAATTTTCCAATGATGTTCTCTGTGTATTATTTCAGCCTCATCACACAGGAGGTGGTGATCTTCTCTTTTCTCTTCTCAAGTAGTCAGCTACGTCTGGTTTTGTATTTCCCCTTGTGTTACGACTTTACGATGTTCTTGCAGCCTTATCTAAAGGTGGGACCTCTTCCTCCTTTATATTTCTTACCAGATCTGCTCGGGATGGCGTATATACAGTCCTTAGTCATGTTCTCCTCTATGGGCGGGGTCTTACTCGGAAGATGTGTCAGCGAAGAATTGAACCACTTTTGAAGGTCATCCTAATGTTATATGGACCACAGATCTTTTGTATTTTCCGATAATCCCTTCACATAGGGTAAAGCTGTATTCTGAGTGTTGTTATCTTCTTAAACCCTTCTATCCCAGTTTGTCGAAGTTGCTGTGTTATGGTAATTTACCCAGGCACGCGTGGACACTCCCAGCTATAAATAGGAGCAGGTACTGCCTTTTGCAGAGGGAATTTCCAGCAGTCAGCACTGACAGTCGGATCGAAAATTCCTGCTGTAATACTCTCGTTTGTATATGTTTTGTATTACTATTTCAGTTAATATATTTATTTAACTCAATTCCTCTCTTTGTGTCTTTATTTCTGGCCCTAACAAGGCAACAACATGCTGTTATGTACTCCGGGTAATTGTTACGTTATAGGGTACTGATTATACTAATCATTTCCTGTTCGTCTGCTTCTGGGTCACCACTTATAACTTTTGCTTGAGGTTGTAAGCAGCAGACGACCCCTTTCTTTACACGCTATGGGTTGTGGGAGTTGAAGATGAGGTATTGTCTGATGAATGTTGGCCTGCGATATACGGATGTATTGAACCCCTGCTCTGTTCGAGATATTAGAAAATCCAGGATAGCGAGCTTGTTTTCCTCCCCGATTATGAACTCTGTCGATGATCTTATTGAGTTCACATTGTCCAGTAGTAGCTGGACCTCTTCCTGATGTGTCCAGAGTATGAAGGTGTCATCTACATATCTCAGCTACAAGGTTATATTTAATGATGCGGAGTCTGTGAAAGTAATGCCTCTCTGACATATTTTTTCATGAAAAATTGCTGACAAAATATTCCTGTTAAGTTTTGTCATTTTTTTTTTATTATTTTGACAAGTAATTTCGTTTGGACACTTTTTATGTGTAAACATTGTCCAAGTGTCTGTTAATTCCGAGCGCTTTCGGGGAATCTTTTAACAATTTTAAGAGCCTTGTTTGTGTTTATGTATAAGTTGTGGAAATGTATATCTACTTAATTCCCTAAAACAGCCTGCATAATGTGGTTATGTTGATATTGCTAACTAAATATTGTTATTTTCACATGGCCCAGAAGTTATCTATTGATATACTGGTCAGTTCTCTTGAGGGTCACTCCGAGGCCAGTCTGACCCCGACTACAGAGATTGCCTTTTTCGTAGGTACTTTGGTTAACGAACCCATCATTTCCAAGCTCTGATCTAAATGCTGAGATCGTTAGTTTATGTAAATGTCTGCTTTCAGATATTCATATGAACATATTTTATTTTAGCTATTCTCCGTCTCTCAAACATTTGAAATTTTCATATGCGAAGCTTATTTTAAGTTAGTTCGGCTACTCCTATAATATTTCAGAAGATAATTTAAAGCTGCCTGTACATCATGGCTGCGTTCATAGTTGATGTTGCTAACTAAACATTGTTAAGTTCATATTATTATATTGTTAACTTGATGTTGTTAAGTGTTTTATTTTCATTGTGGTTTGTTCTTTGTTGTATTTTTATGAAGAGGTTTTCAATTATTTTAGATGCATTTGTGTTCTCGAAATGTATGCTGTGTAATGTGAATAATACATATTATTCTAATTTAAATGGATCTTTATGAAATTTTGTTCTCAGTTATGGATAGCCAGACATCCTGATAAGCGAGTGCTGGTAGATGTAAAATAATTGTCTATGTATTTTCCCACGAAATTAAAAGTCAATGTGACATGCATTTTATCCCATAGACGAAAACAAATTCGATGTACTAGAAAGAGCTAACATTCAATTAATTTCTAATGCATTCCTATAGTAAAATCATTTGCCATGAATTTCTATAGATGCTTTTATTAATTGCTATATCACTAAATATGGAATCATTACAGAGAATGAAAGTTTGGATGGATTTCTTTCATAAATCCTAGCCATAATATTCCAGGTTCCATAAAGAGCTAGTATTTAAATCATTTCTAATGCATTCCTATAGTAAAATCATTTGCAATGAATTTCTATAGATGCTTTTAGTATTTGCTATATCACTAGATATGGAATCATTAGAGGGAATGAAAGTTTGGATGGATTTGTTTCATAAATCTTAGCCATAATATTTCAGGTTCCATAAAAGAGCTAGTATTCAAATCATTTCTAATGAATTCCTATAGTAAAATCATTTGCAATGAATTTCTATAGATGCTTTTAGTATTTGCTATATCACTAGATATGGAATCATTAGAGGGAATGAAAGTTTGGATGGATTTGTTTCATAATTCTAGCCATAATATTCCAGGTTCCATAAAGAGCTAGTATTCAAATGATTTCTAATGCATTCCTATAGTAAAATCATTTGCAATGAATTTCTATAGATATTTTTTAGTATTTGCTATATCACTAGATATGGAATCATTAGAGGGAATAAAAGTTTGGATGGATTTGTTTCATAAATCCTAGCCATAATATTCCAGGTTCCATAAAGAGCTAGTATTCAAATCATTTCTAATGCATTCCTATAGTAAAATCATTTGCAATGAATTTCTATAGATGCTTTTATTCTTTGCTATATCACTAGATATTGAATCATTAGAGGGAATGAAACTTTGGATGGATTTGTTTCATAAATCCTAGCCTTAATATTCCAAGTTCCATAAAGAGCTAGTATTCAAATCATTTCTAATGCATTCCTATAGTAAAATCATTTGCAATGAATTTCTATAGATGCTTTTAGTCTTTGCTATATCACTAGATATGGAATCATTAGAGGGAATGAAAGTTTGGATGGATTTGTTTCATAAATCCTAGCCATAATATTCCAGGTTGCATAAAGAGCTAGTATTCAAATCATTTCTAATGCATTCCTATAGTAAAATCATTTGCCATGAATTTCTATAGATGCTTTTATTAATTGCTATATCACTAAATATGGAATCATTACAGAGAATGAAAGTTTGATGTATTTCTTTTCATAAATCCTAGCCATAATATTCCAGGTTCCATAAAGAGCTAGTATTCAAATCATTTCTAATGCATTCCTATAGTAAAATCATTTGCCATGAATTTCTATAGATGCTTTTATTAATTGCTATATCACTAAATATGGAATCATTACAGAGAATGAAAGTTTGGATGTATTTCTTTCATAAATCCTAGCCATAATATTCCAGCTTCCATAAAGAGCTAGTATTCAAATCATTTCTAATGCATTCCTATAGTAAAATCATTTGCCATGAATTTCTATAGATGCTTTTATTAATTGCTATATCACTAGATATGGAATCATTAGAGGGAATGAAAGTTTGGATGGATTTGTTTCATAAATCCTAGCCATAATATTCCAGCTTCCATAAAGAGCTGGTATTCAAATCATTTCTAATACATTTCTATAGTAAAATTATTTCGCATGAATTCCTATAAAATAGTAAAATCATTTGCAATGCATTTCTATTGATGCTCAGTAGAGTAAACGAAAATTTTAATGATTGATATTGATAAATTCTGGCCAAAATAATCCAGCTTACATTAATACCTAGTATTACAATAATTTCCAATGGATTACTACAGATGCTTTGAGGATTTGCTATGTTATTATATAAATAACTAGCAGTAGAGAGCGGCGTTTCCCCGGGATGTAACAGTAAGAGATAGATCAAGTATAGACCATCATAAAGACTGAAAAATAAAATTGACAAAGATTATTGTCTAAGGTTGACGGACACGCATGTCTTAATTAGTGTTTTTTTTAATTTTTTTACGAATTGGTCAAACCCAAACTCAAACAAAAACACTGTTTTCAATCGTTATGAGTCTACCGATTGAATAGAATTTTATTATAAATAATTGTCTTGTAAATGGAATTGTTAAAGCATTCTGAATGTAAAAATAAAGAAAAAAGTGTGCAAGACAATAAGAAACACTACCTACCAAAAAAGTGAAGTTTTGTCGAGATCGGTTGAAAAATGTAGAAAATCCGATGCCATATATAAACGAACACACACACACACACACAAACAACCTGGGTTTTATAATAAGTATAACTCGATATGAGTTGTCTCCATTTCATTCTCGTGACAGCGATGCCTGTTAATCGTGTTTTCAAATTGATTTCGTGCAAAAACAATTGTGTTTTTCCAATTTTTGGCGCTGCCAGAACCACCGCAAGGTAATTTTACGTAGTCCTGAGAAGTTTTGTTGAAATCGGTTGAAAAATGTAGGAAATCCGATGCAATATATAAACGAACAGACACACATACAACCTGGGTTTTATAATAAGTATGATCATTAGGGTAAATGTAAACTTTATAATTGTTTTAATTTATTTAATTATTATTATTATTATTATTTAATTGAGATATAATTATTAATGTTTCCGTTAAATATATTAATCACGATCAATTACTTATATGATTACCGTTGCTAAAAAAAGGTAGATTTTATTTATATCATTTGTAATTATACCGGTTGTTTTATCTTTTTAGGTTTTAGGTTAAAACAAACTTCCAGATGAAAGGGGTCATGAACAAACTGAGCTTCTCACTCGGCAAGAAGAAGCGAGAAGCCCAAAAGACCTCAACAGAGACAAGCGAACAACCGTCGACAGTTCCAGATGAACACCAACCGGACACAGATACAGGTTTCTTCGATGACCCTCAAAATATAGGGCCTAACACCAGCGGGGTCACTGAATACGAAACGTCTACTGAAGTCCTCCAAGAGGGTGCCTGCTCCTCACTTGAAATCCCCGAAGAGACATTAATCCAGACATCACAAAGGGAAAAATTTAAATTATATAATGACCCGGTTGAATCTAAGATCAAGAAGGATTCTACTCCCCAGGAGATCCCCTATGCAATAAGCGATTCTGATAGGGTCACTGGTGATGGCAAGAAGTATCGAGATGGAACCAAGACTGATAGGTATGTCTTTGGTTTAGATGAAGATACAAGAGATTCCGAAGTCCGCCAAGCTTACAATCACAACGCGAAAGATGCTGCATATTGTCTTCCAGGGGAACATGAAACCCTTGTAAGTGAAGTCCCTCAGATCTTTCTACGCGATCGTTATGACGATGATGGCATTGTAGAAACTTCTGATTTTCTTCCAAGCGTAAAAGAAGTCCATTATCCGATTGAAAGGGCTGAAAAGGAATACGTTGAAATGCCAGCGCCTACCTTTAAAGAATTCCGCGAGAGGGATAAAAATCTCACCTTCGACGTCAACCCACCGCAGCTTATTCACTACAGCCCCGAAGATCCACGAATCATTCGATCTCATTTTAAGTCAGACCCCGAAAGTGATATCAAATCTGCCGACTACTTGTATGCAAAATCCGACAGGATGTCACAAATCCCAGTGCAGGATTCGGGTAACTACATCGGAGGGTTATATTTTAACCCTAGATTAAAAGAAGAGGCGTTCAGCGTTTGTAACCCACGTGAGAAAGGTCCCCTCCAATCCGAGCGGGATCTTGCCGACCGTCTTTATAAGAAAAGCAATAAAAAAAGGAGCATAGGTTTTATAGATGAAAGTTATCCTTATCGGCCAAATGACAAGGACATCACTCTAAAATACGATGATGGTCTTGAAAAAGATCAAATAAAACCAGACACTATAGAAATGCAAAAAGATAATGGCGGTTTTGACAATTACGCTGAAGCGTCATATTATACTTATAGGTCAAGTGGGGATAACGGTAATCTTAATATCCAATATAAACAAGGTTCACCTATGTACGATCAACATCAAAGATATATCTCTGATGGTAAGACATTTTATCCTGATTGTCAAATAGATGTTGATTCCTGTCGTCGAGAGTATTATAGTAACACTGCATCTGATAGCCATCTTAAAGGCGGGAAGTTGGACAAGCAGCGCCGTGAAGAAGCTTTCGATAAACAGGGATCCGATCCCGATGAGATATCCCGAGATGACTTCATAGAAAAGATTGTAGTTACAAAGAAAACGAAAGAACATTCCAGACCAATTTTTATCGACCCCAAAAGACCCAACCCTCTTAAGAATTCCCAGAACCCTCCTGTTAATAGCAATATCAAATCCGAAGATAAAGATAACAGTTACTTGTTTAATAAAGACAACCGCTCAAAGCACGACACGAGCGTAAATCCAGCCTATAAAACTCGTAATCTGAAAACCTTCAAAAACAGAGCCTTAGTCAAAAGCAATGATGACACTTTCGGGCGACATTTAAGTCTATTCGGCCGCTGGATGGTAACCCACGGACATTTAGTTGATCCGTATGATTTCTGTCTCTGGTCCTACGCCAGCCGTCCAGAGGAATATATTGATTTGTCTAAATACCAAATGGATTTACGAGGACGCTGGCTGGATGCAAGCGGTTGTTCAGTCACACCGTTTTTTTATTGTTACAGTTATGATGGCGAACCCATTTATCTTGGAGACTGCGACTGTTATGACGTTTTTAAAAACAGCTACGACGCAACCACTAATGATAGTGAAAATTTTGCAAACAACCCCGAGAGATTTATTGATCTATCAGATTTCCAAATGGATATGGAGGAACGCTGGAGAGATTGCGATGGAAGATATGTCGACCCGTTCTCCGAATGGTACGCCATTGGCTCCCCGGAAAACGAGATTTCTGAATACGACTGGTTTTTCAACAAACCTGAGACCCTCGCTCTATCTCGCTACCCTGGAACGATGTATGACTATTTCGAAGATTATTTCGATATTAATCCATTTTTGCCAAAATCTAACGTTATGATCACAGATATACCTGATCTCGAAGATTATCTTTTCAGCGAAAATTATATATTCTGGGATTATCCTACAAGATACCCATCGAATATTCCAGGTCTGTTCGAAGACCCATCGAATATGACAGGTCTGTGGCCGGATACTGAACACATCCGTAACGTATCGAAGGGTATAAAAGCAGTTGGTGATGGAGACCGATCGGATACATATGACCGCATGAAATATAGATCCAAAAAGAAAACAAAATAAGAAATATGAAACGGAATGTCTCAAAAAA